TTAGAATATTTAAATATTTCTTTTATTATTTCATTATTTAAGTTTTAAAGTTTTATTTTAGTTTTGTTATAATCTCTCATATAATTATAATATTATGTTTATAATCTCTTGCATATTTGTAATGTTATATTAATGATCTCTTACATGTTTGTAATATTATATTTATAGTTTGGATCTCTTACACATTGTGATATCATATTGTTGAAATGATTTAATAAACTGAATTTATAATATTTTACTTGTCTATAAATTATTATTACAATTATCTTATTAAATACATATTAGATTATAAGAAGATTTCTTAAGTCAATTTTTAGCTAACTAGTAATTAAATAAATACATGTTACCATCTTTAGCTATTTATCTTATCTTTTTTACCTGATTTGAAACATGTATTGAGCACGTAAAAAGATATGATATATTTGAAATCCAAGTAAAATGATGACACTATATTTATATATAAATAAAAAAGCAAAATAAGATAACTATAAAGAGATATGACTATAAATAAATGTAATTATAAAGAAATTTGACTGTATATTTAAAAACACAAAATCTTTTATATAAAATATAATATTTATGTTACAATAATAATTAATATTATTAATTAAACAAAATATTCTAATTAATTGATTTATTAATTTTTTATACTATATAAATATATTTTAAAGTTAAATAAATAACAAAAATAATAAAGACTCTTTTACTTTGTTCTTTTATAAAAAAGAAATTATGATGTTTTTGATTAAGAAATTCCAAATAATTCAATATAATAAAAATATTAAAAAACTAATTTATAACAAAATACCAATTCAATAATAATATTTTAATTAGCTCAATATAATTTAAAGTTACTTGTTTACAAGTTTTAAAATATATAATTGAGAGAAAAAGGTAAAATATTTAAATATTAAAAGATATTTGTTTTATTATATTATTTATTTTCAAATTCTAATATATTAAGTCAAAACTCAATTATAACTTGTATTTATATTTTTTACAAATACTAATATAATTAAATTTTTTTATAATTATTATTCTTAGAAAAATAAAATTTGATAAGTATAGAGAAAATATAATTATAAAGAGTTTTTTATTATATTTATATATAATTAAAAAAGCAAAATAGAATAATTATAAAAAAAAATATGACTATAAATAAATATATTTATAAAGAATTTGATTATATATTATTAAAAACAAGAAAAAAATATAAAAAAGTAAAGAAAAAAATAAATATATATATTTTTTTTAGAAATTTATAATTAGCTAAGATATATTTATTATAATAAATAAATAAATAAAAAATAAAATAAATTAATAATATAAATAAAAATAAAAATAATACAAAATAAAAAAATAAAAATAGAAAAATAAATAAATAAATATAATAATTAATAATATATAATATAATTAGAAAAATATTTCAAGTTTTTTGCATGATTTTTATAATTTTATAAAATATTACAAATTATAAAATTAATAATTTTTATAATATAATTATAATAATAGCTAAAATAAAAAATATAATTAAATTTTTCTATAATTATATTTAGTATAGTTATATCTTTCTATAATTATCTTAATTTACTTTTCTATTTATATATAAATATAGTAAAAAAATTCTTTATAATTACATCTTCTTTATAATCATCAAATTTTGTTTTTACATGTGTAATAACTATAAAGAAATTTGATTTTATTAATATTTTATTTATCTAAATTATATCAAAAATCTTTGTTAAAAGATTTCTTTGTCCTTTTTGTTTTTATTTTTATATTGCAATTTTATGTTTTTTTTTAGTAAACTAATAATTAATTAAAAAATTTAAATAAACAATTAGAAAATTCTTTTTGATAATTTTTTAGCAAATCTAATTCTTTAAATTTTTTTACTTTTTCACATTTTATTATATGATTATATTATTATTTTTATAAATTATAAAATTTATTTTTAATTTTTGTAATATTTATTTAATTTAAATTTGCTAAAAGTTTTTTTTATATTCTAATTTTACTGATTTTAAAATATTTAGAATTTAATATTCTATAAGTTTTAATTAATACTTTAATAATATTATTGTTATATTTATTTTTATATAAAAAAATTTATTTTCATATTTATTTTTCTTAAAAAGTGATCTCTCTTTAAATTAAAACATTCAAAACATATATAATATAATTGATATCTATCTGACTTGTTATTATTAGAATTATTTTTTGGTGACTTTTCAAAAAAAAAAAAGCTAAGCAAACTTTTAAATCCATACAAATGTCTGTATATTATAATTAACTATATACATTGAGTGTTAAATATATATTTTTTCTTGACTAGAAAAAAATTTATATGGTTCAAGTAATCTATATTCAACAATTTGTTTCAATTTTTAAAATTTTTCAACTTAATATTTGATCGGTAACTTTATAGAGCTTATCATAAAGAACAAAAGTTACTGATCAAATTTTGAAAATTTTGTTTTTATATTGAGTTGAGTATTACTTGAACTATACTTATTGCAAAATAAATAATAATAGTAATAAATTCAACTTTTTAATAAATCACAATTTTTACTATATGATTGGTAAAAAAAATTTGATCATATATAAAATAAGTATAACAAACATCCAAAGAATCCAGTTCATTTTTCTTCTTTGCTTTCAAAAATGTTTATCTATTTTTCATGTTTCTAATCAAGCTAAAGATCTTTGTCTTTCTGTTTTGTTTGAACAGCATTGTGTACAATCATTTACTATATCTAAAAGAACATGAAGAGTTAAATTTTGACTAGACATATCTTCAATTAAATATGCTCTTTCTTTTGTTGTTTCTGATTCTAGCTCTAGCACTGACATTGAATTTATATTGTCATTTTCAATTTCCATATCAATATTCTCCCAAGAAAAGTCTTCATTTTCACACGTATTAGCTATTGTATATGCTTTTTTGAAATCTATTTCATCCCAGATAAATGGTTATATTTCAATTTCACAATCTTTACAACCATTTGTAGATGTTGTATGATATCATTATCATTATCAGATAGGTTATCATCTTTATCAAGATTGATATAATCAAAGTGATTTTTGTTTAGAAAAAAAGATGTTTCATGCTGACTTGAACTGGTGATTTCTTTCTCCATTCATGTTTGGCTTAAATATTACAATTAATAGGACTCGGAAAGATTAAAAATTATAGCAATACATGTAACGGTAATAGTAGTGATAGTGATAGTGATATTATTAGAATTTCATAAAGATTCTTTTATATTATTGGGAAAAAAATAGATAACAAATAATAAAGTTACTTTCAGAAATTTGTATGTATATGATATTAATGACGATAAGATTTATAATTATTAATAATCTAAAATAAAACATTATTGATGCGAATTTTCAACTGTATATCATACATCCAAGCCCAAATAACAAATGCTCAATATATTGAATTTATTAGAAATTAAATAGAGCAATCTTTTTTGTTTATAGTATTTGTTACATTAAAACTTGGTATTATGGCCGACTTCTCATTCAAAGTTCATGAATGACCTTTAGAAGCTCATAGAATAATCATTTGCACCCAAAATCCCATAACGATAAAATTTGGCCATATAATAGAATTATATGGGGTGAACAAGTTTAGTTGTTATGTTAATAGAGGTTTTATTAGTAAAAATGAACTTTTCATAGCGATAGTCCAAAAATTTAATTTATTTTATTTTCGTTTCGATTCCGGTTCGGTTTCGGGTTGACCCGAACCGTGCGGAGCACTAATAACGATATCATGCACGAGAATTTAAAAATCACATCCTATTTGCATTTTGCGCATTATGTATTTGTGTGCATAACGATTTTGAAAATTTAATTTAATCAAAAAAATACATATCTCGGAGGCATTTAAAATATCATCAAAGTAAAGCTTTTATAATTATCTGATTTTAAACTTCAAGTAATAATATCTCGATAACCACCCATCTAATTTCGATCATTGTTTATTTGCAAGGCTAAATTGTTTCGCCTTTTTTTTAAAAAAATATTGAATTTCGCCTATTTAATTTTCCATAGGACTAAAATACTCCCTGCATTTTAATTTCAATATTGTAAATTTAGCATTAATGTATCACTGGTCAGTTAATCCTCATTCAATATATGATCCGAAATTATCATGTATTAAATTTTTCCCTTTCAATCACATTTTGAAACACGTTCAAAACCAAGGAGACGATTTTTAATTAGAACGATCCGATGTTTCTTACTATGAAAACCAATCTTCAATTTCATTGACTAAAATTGATATGCATTATTAACCAATGAAAATGAATATTGGTTTACATAGTAAATTCATTATGCAAATCTGATTAACGGATCGGTTTTCATGTAAGATGCATTTGCCATATTTCTTATGTCAACAAAAAAGCTATATAAAGGCCCCTTTCAGCAAAGATTTTTCATCAAATCAATATCTATCTCACCTTCTCCACTCACTCACCTGTTGAACGGGTTTTGGTTGCTTAACGAATCTTTAGACAATTTTTGAGAGCTAGACTCTTTGTCAAGAATGCATTCTCAATCATTAAACATGAAATTCGGCATCGTCTTAACTCTCTGCATGGTCTTTGCTGTCACGTCATTTGCCTTCCCTCACACAAGACGCCAACAGACATCATCGACTATTGACCCCTTCCTCTTTGGCGTCCGGCCTGACACCCCAAAGGATGTTAGCGCTGCATCATTGAAAACAGTATGTGATTCACTGGCTACCACATTGAAGAAAACACTTGCTGATTGCGGCGCAGCAAATAAAGGCACTGATACATGCAATAAACCTAACGGAAACCCAATTGATGCAAATGTCGTCGACAAGCACACCAAACAATGTGAGGCCCACGGAATAGATAGTAATGGACTCTATGATCCCAATATATTTGGTAATCAGTTGTCAGCTATTACTCAGACAGGAAATACTTTTACCGTCGGCCAAGAAAGCTTCCAAACTGAAGCCGATGCGATAGTCGGAGCGTGTAAGCAACAACGGAAGCAAAATCTTGCAACACTTGCAGATTGCGAAGCGGATCCTGCTAATGCTGCAAAATGTAACAAATTGGATGGAACACCAGTTACTAGGACTGAAATCAATTTACATAACAGCGTTTGTTTCTCTTTCCGTTTGACACAGTAAATTTAGTGTTTTTTTTAGTGGTAAATTTAATCATAAACAAATAAAATTATTGCAAAGTTTTTGAAATAAGGAAAAGGATGGTTTCTACAAATATATCGATATACAGTATGAATGCATGTTCGATATTTTATTTCTTTCCCAATTTAGTGTGCCAAATATATAAAAAGCAGCATGTAATGGTAGCGATAGCTGGTCTGAAAATTAATCCGGAACATCGATGCCGATCCATTCCGTCCAATTTTAGCATAAATAAAATATCGTTATATATATGTATATATTCCATTTTTTGGGACAGCAAAAAATTTATCAGGTCACGTGATATTTGTTTATGTCCGGAAAATTCTATGGTAATAGAGGTTATTGTTAAAGATTACTTTAAAGGTTAGGGTTTGAGTCAAGTTTATATGTAAAGTTATTTTTATTAGTGTACCAAACTAGATTTAGACATTTGTTTCAATAAGAAAGCAGAAATTTTTGATACGAGAAACAGGCGCCTAAATCTAGCTTGAAGTCTTAATTAAAAACGTCGGAAAGACAATTTTATATATTACTTTATCTCCTAATCCTAAAACTATGATTCCGAAAAAAAGTCTGGTTCAGTTCGAACCTAACCAAAAATCCGATTCGAATTCAAGTAAATGTTTGATGATGTTCTAAGTAAACTTGTAGATGATAACTAGAGCTACAAATTGGTATAAGATATTTAATATTTAGAATAAATATTCAAAGTTTTAAAAAATTTTAATTATTTATAATTTTAATTAACTTTATTTATATTATAGTAAACATTTATTTTTCAATATTAATCATAAATTACGAGTATAAATAATATTGTAACCAGAAATGAGAGCTACAAATTGTATAAGATAGTTGTTATTAATAATAAATATTCAAATAGTTAGAGAATTTACAATAAAATATATAAATTATAAATCAATATTGTTGTGATTAGATATTTTCATAATTACAAACGATCATTTCATATGATCGCTTCACATGATCGCTTCACATGATCACTTCACATGATCACTCTGAATGATCATTCCAAATGATCATTCCAACCGATCATCTCAAGTGCTCCGAATGATTATTGCAAATGATCATTGCAAACGATCATTCCAAATGCTCCGAATGATCATTCCAAATGCTCCGAATGATCATTCCAAATGATCATTTTATAATTATCAAATACTTATAAATACAGCTTGTAT